GCCAAAGAAATATAGGCGATGTTGGACGAGGCCATCATGTCCTACAAGATGGCCTTGCCCATTGCCATTGTACAAAATCAACAGTTAAAATCATTAAAACAATTTTGTGCAGGGAGGGTCCCAGTTTTAGTTCACCCCTCCCTGTATAGAGCCGTAAAACTGACTTTCCCCTGGGATATCGGCGGAATCTCCCAAGACGGCTCCATCAAGACTGAGATGGGCCATGGGTCTATGGGAGAGGCTGTTGATATTCTTACTCTGACCATGTTTAAACCAGTAGTACAATACTAATCTGGTTAGCAAGTATAAATGCCCGGGGCCTGAGCTCCGAGTCTTGCAGGGCGAGGCTCTCTCGCGACCTTCAGCGCCTCGGGGTGAATGTTTGTTGTGTGCAAGAGACCCGGTTTTCTTCTCATGACCGTGAGGACTTGCTGTTTAAGGGGTTCTCCATTTATTCAGCAAGTTTTGATGGTTGTTCGAGGGGTGTCTTGGCTAGTGAGCAAGTCTTTGAAGGCTGCATGTACTCTTGTCTTCGCAGATCCGGCGGGCAGGCTTTGCATGCTGGATGTTATCATAAAGGATAAGGCTCTACGACTCATTAGGGTTTATGCTCCCAATAACCATCCCGAGCGGCAGATCGGGCCGTACCTGACGACATCTCGTCGGTTAGTTTTAGCGGGGAATTGGAATGCCGTCCTTGACCCCGATATAGATCGTATAGGGCAAAATCCGGGTACTAACAACCGGGACGTGAAACCATTTCGGGACTTTATCGATGAGTTTGATCTTGTCGATAAGTACCGGAATGAACACTCTCGGGAGGTAGCATGGACTTGGACAAATAGTGGCAACTCGTCTCCTGGGACGCTTGCTAGCTACCTCGACCGAGTCTTAGGAGAGTCGATGTAGACCTCTTACGGTGTCCAAGCTTCCACTATATAGTTTATACGGATCATAGGCTTGTCCGGGTCCGTGTAAACTTAGATAAGCCTAAGGTTAGAATGGCTGGTTACTGGAAATTTAACTGTTCACTATTTGGTGAGCAGGATTTCCGGGACCATTTGCTACTAATGATTCAGAGGGAATTGACGGGAGCGGTTGTTGGGAACGCCTGGTGGGATAATCTAAAATCGAAAATTAGAACGTTTGCTGCCGACTTTAGTCGTCGACACAATCTAGATAGATTAGCGGCGCAAACGGCTTTAGAACAAAAAGTTGATCGGGCAGTAAAATAGTGTAATAGTGGGGAAATAGCCTTAGCTAAAGCAGAGTTGTCCTCCTTGCTTATCAAGAAGGATCAAGCTCTGGTAGTTAGGGCTAGGTTAAAAGAATGTCCTCCGAGGTGACGAATATGGCCGCTGAATTTGCGTGCAGAGGAAAATCGGAGCGCAGCTCAGCGACATATCGCGTGCGTCACATTGCCGGATAATCGGACCGTGACTACAAACGCGGGCATATGCGGGGCCTTTCGGGATTACTTTCAGGATCTTTTCACCAGGGAGCCCGGTCTGAGCCCTGCTCGGTTCGACACCTATTTGGCCGACTTTCCCTGCCTCGAAGCAGCTGGTGCGAGGGTCCCATCACAGAGTCGGAAATCTGGGAAGCGCTGAAACAGGTTGGTCTGGATAAATCTCCGTGACTAGGTGGTCTTCCCTACGAAGTTTACTTGAGGCAGTCGCCCGTTTTTGTTCCTTTGCTGGAACTGATCTTCAACAACTGGATGAAGCAGGGGGCTATACCCCAACGCTTCACCTGGGGTGTGATCAAGTTGCTGCGTAAGGACAAGAACGGTGGGATGGGTTAAATAACTTTCGCCTTTTGACTATGTTAAACACAGAGTTAAAGATTTTGGCGAAGATCTTAGCCAACCGCTTGCAGCTTGTCCTGTCTAGTCTGATTGGCTCCGAACAGTCTTGTGCTGTGAAGGGCAGGACTATTCAGGATAACCTGCATATGGTACGCTTGATCTTAGAACAAGTCGAGAGTGAAGCTGCGCTGATCAATTTAGATCAGTCCAAGGCCTTCGATAGGGTTGACCATCGGTTTCTGGAGGCTGTCCTTTCGGCGGCCGGTTTCGGAGCCGACTTTCGCTCCTGGATCCGACTTTTGTATGCGAACCCCAGTGCACTGGTGGAGGTGAATGGGGTAAGGTCGAAGCCTTTCCTATTGTCTCGCTCCATTCATCAAGGTTGTCCGCTGTCGCCTTTGCTTTACGTTCTTGCGTTGGAACCATTCCTTCGCAAGTTAAAGGCGAATCCGGTCCTGCGTGGAATTTCCCTGCCTGGGGCTACCACCTCAGCCAGGTATTCTGCCTATGCTGACGACGTTTCGGTTCTTGTATCGAGCAGAGCCGAGATTGACGAAGTCAGCAAAGAGATCAGTGGGTATGAGATGGTTACAGGGGCCAAGATCAACCGCGATAAGTCTGTTGGCTTGCGGTTGGGTGCGTGGAAGGGAGTTTCTCTTCCCGGACCTTTCCTCTGGGCGGATGGGCCGATCAAGATACTCGGCGCCTGGTTCGGTCCTGATCTCCAGTTGGAAATGAATTGGTCGGAGGTACAAGGGAAAGTCGAGATCGCGGTTAATCTGTGGTCTCGGAGGAGGCTTTCCTTGAAGGGGAGGGCGGAAGTATGTGTTTCACACATCTACCCGATTCTCCTTTACCGACTCTCTGTACTTCCACTCCCGTATACCAGACTAATATTATTAGTAAGGCTCTTGTTCTCTTTCTTGTGGAGAGACAAGGCCGCTATGGTATCTCGCGAGATCTGTTGTCTTCCTCCCTCTGAGGGCGGTCTGGGTATGCATAGCATTGAGATTCGTCAACATATGCTTCGCATCAACTTTCTAGACCGAATGTGTCGCGGATCGGTTGAGGATGGCGCCTTCTGGAAGGAAGACGTCCGTAAACATTTTCCATCCCTGAGAAGTGTGCACTCGTGCCGGGAGGAGGCCGGCCGTACACCCCGAGCCGAATGCTCCTTCTACCACGAATGTCGCCGTGCTCTGAAACTCCTCTTACAGGTGTCGGATGGCCTCTCCAACGTCCAGGCGTTGTCTCGTAGAGCATTGTATCAAGTGTTAGTCAGTGGGGCCGTTCAGGATGATCTGATTGACGAGCTCGGTCTTACGAAGCAGGAGGCTCGCTCGATATGTCCTTGGGCGCCTGGGTTGAAATGCCTCAATAATGATGAGCCATCACTCACTTGGCTGGTGATTCGTGGGGCCCTCTGGGTCGCCAAGAGACTTTGTTCAGCAGGCTTGGAGAAACATCCAAACTGCCGTCGCTGTACTGGAGAAGTCGAGACGCCTTCTTTCATTGCAGGATGGTAGTGCCGTTGTGCAAGTTTGTTGAAAGCCTCATGGTTCGCATGCTGTGGGGAAAGTTCTTTGTCCTTGAGGCCAGATCTGTTTGTAGCAATGTGTTGCCGCAGATGACGAAGGCTGAACATTATGTGTTCTGTTGCTTACTAGGTGTTTTGAGGGTCGTGATTTGAACGACGCGTCAGAAGGAATTCTACGAGGGCGAGAAGTTCACTTCTTCCCAACTGATCTTGTTCTTTAAGCATCAGCTTAAAATCAAGATCAGGACGGAAAGGCGGCGGCTCACCTCATCAGAATTTAGCAAAAGGTGGGTGAATCTTACGCGTTATGTGTCGAGTAAAAGGGGCTGACTTGGAGTGGCATTTGATGCCGGTTAGGCATCAGGATATTGTTTTTCTGGTTTAAACTTAGGTAACCCATCCCTGGATTTAGGCTAGAATTAGGTTTTTGATTCTTTAGTTTTTCTTTTTCAGTAAACTTGGCTAGGGTGTGTTTGCTCATTGGCCCCTTTTATTTCTGCCAGTTTAACTCCCCATCCCCTCCCTCGTTAGGTGGTCAGTGATTTCAGTGCTCTGGTGGATGTGGGGCGCCTTTCGTTTCGCGTGCGTGTTTTTTCGTATTTGTTGTTGTGTCAGAATGAGTGCATGTCTGTGTGAGTGTTTGGGATGGATGAATGGGATGGATGAAAGCTCGATTCTTAAAGTACCACATCGATTTCGTCTAGTTAACTGATTTTCTGCCACATTTAAGGTTTGTGGGGGGTTTTATTACTAACATGATTTTGTTTAGTTTCTTGTAAATAGTTTATAACCATATTGTATAATGTATATATATCATTGGGATGTTTTTAGCTTGTTGTTTTTATTCCCCTCCCCTCACAGACAACGATTTGTACATATGGAAACTATTTAGGACTTTCATTGAGACAATGAGGTATTTTGGTGGATGTAGTAAGAAAGGTAATTATGAAAGTGTTGTCTTGGTGCTAGGATTATTGTTTTGTACGATTGGGTCAGTGGTTGTGGCTACCTAAGTTATAAATTAAGACAGATGATGCCCGTCTCTTTTTTCCCCACCCCCTTTTTCGGCCTTGTGCCACATTTACTGTAGTACTGTATTCAGTAATAAATATCGGAAGGCAAGCTTAGCGACTGACTAGTGCTATACTTTGACTTCACATCAATTTCCAAAATTCTAAAAAGATAAAAAAAATAATGTCTTTCATCAAATAATCCTTAGATCTTTCTTAATAACACAAAGATTTGACGATAAAATGTTTTTTATTGTTTTATACGTTTTCCTTTTTTATCAAAAAAGTAAAACACTTAAGGTAGACTACTAATGTTTCTTATAAGAGAGTTATTTCCCTTTTATAAACTTTTTGCCATGCATGTCGCTTATATCAATGGTTTACCAGATCATTAATCAAAATAATGAATATTAACATTTATTGTGAAAATCACTTTATTTGTGCTTCAGTTAGTTTTATAAATTCATTCTTTTTAAATAATAAATACAAATAATTTTAATTATATTTTGCTATTTTTTCCCTATTTTGAAATTGGTAAGCGACCAGTAGCATGGCACGAGAAGCGATTTTGTTTTGAACGAAAGATTTTATTTTTATTCTCGTATTCATTATTTGTTTGAAGATGCCTCGCTATGGACAATTGGTTATGGGACCAGCAGGCAGTGGCAAGGTAACTATATTTTATTTTAAGATAGAAATGAATGACAGTAAACAGATTAATAATTATTTTAAAAAAAACATCCATTTGAAAAATTAACTAACACTTTTGCTTTTCTTAATATTTTTTTTATGTCTAAATTTACTAGCACAAGAGCGAGACAGGATACATGGGTCGAGAATCAAAAGGTTTACGCAAAAATGAAATGTTATCCCGACAATACACAATGTTAGGGTGCATTGTGTGCTGAAAATATAAAATTTTGTGCCAACAAGGTGAAACAATGAAAAAAAGTCATTTATGCACACTGTAAAAAATCAAAATCTTTCCTTTCTATTACAAATAACAACGCATAATTCAAAATAACCTTGAAGAAAAGAAACATATTGTTTTAAAAATGAAAATAATATTTCCCAGGTGAAAGTAATAAAAAAATTGTTCTGAAAATGGGTAAGTTTCCGAAGTAAACAAATAAATTCATTCTGTATTCGATATTCTTCATTTACTTAAAAAAGGTAAATCCTGTCGTGTCTTTAAAAAATTAATTATACTGTGACGGTGTCGTGTCCATAAAAAAATAAATAAAAATTAATTATAGTGTCAAAAATAATTATAATAAAATTAACAATTATAATTATCAATAATTCACACAAACCATTGAGAATCGACCCCAAAACAAAATATTTCAAAAATAATTTCATTCATTTGTGAATAAGTCCTGAAAATTTCATTAAGATCGGACAATTATTTTATTTTTACAAGAATTTCCAAACTTAATTTCCGGAATAATAGAAGGTCGGATTCATTAAAAATTCACAAAAAAATGTAATTGTCCTATAAAATCCCATTTTAGTTTAACAAATCACAAATAGACATGAAAATACAGCTTAGTGTATTTTGTATTATGTAGGTACCTCCCAAAAAAGTGTTACCTAAGGTTTAAAATGCATTTTAAAAAGGAAAAATCTTTCTTGAAGATTTATTTTGGTTTTAATTTTAAAATAATAGATTAAATTTAATATTTCCTATAACCAAAATAATTTGTTGTATTTCAAACTGGATTTATTTTTTTTAAATAACTAAAATCAGCCATATTGATAAATTTTTTTTATTAAAAATATCTTTCAAAAATAAAATATACTTTTCTGAAATTTTATTTGTGAATGATTAACTGATTTAAAGTTTAATCTGTATTAAAACAAATATTACTTTTAATTTAAAATATTACAGAAAATGGAGGTGGGTGTTTTTATGAGATGTTGACATCTATCAATAACCTGGTTTGTATGGTTTATGTAAGGAGGAAATAGTTGTAGTAAAATTACTTGATAAATACAATGTAAATACCTTTTTTTAGATAATTTTTTTTTTAACTACCCAGTAATCTTGAAAATTTTAAATATTTTAAACATTCTAATATTTTATTGAATTTTGAGTACTTTGGCTTTATAGTCATACAAAGATGATTGTTGAAGAAATGTGAGAAAATTAGCAATAAATTTTAAACTTACTATAATTACTGATCTATTTTTTGATAATGTTGTATATGTATGTGCATATTTACAAAAATTTATTTATATACACACAAAGCATTCAAAATTCTTTTTAAAAAACTGAGGTTCACCGAATTGTAGTATTTCTATTTATGATTAGTAAGCATAGTTTTTATTTAATAACAATATCATTTGCTCACTACAGATTAATACAGAATTTGAAAACACACACACTACATATATATATATATATATAGGTTAATGGTCAGAGTTGAATCAGACCAGGAAATGGTAGTATTAAAACGTGCTCAATACACGTGAGAAAATATAAGTAAAAATAAAAAGAACATGTAGCGCTTTTAACTTTAAAAATCAGGAGGTCTATTAAAATATGCAACCATGGTTTTGACTTGACAGTCTCTTCAGGCAATACTTTTAAAATGGCCACTTTAATGCTTCATTTTAAAAAAACACAAAGAATGCTTGTGACAGAAAGAGTCTGGGAAACACATACACACACACGTATATATTTTTTTAGTGAAATTGGAGTGGATTTGAACAGCGAAATAAATCTGAGCATTTTTGTTTACTGATGGTGAAACCTGATCTAGTGCAGGAGCTGTACCTATTGGAACTGGGTCATTAGCAGACAATGGAAATGGTCGAAATAATTTTTATTGATTAAAATTTGGAACAGAGCTTAGTAAGCAAGGAAGACCTTTAGAATTCACATGATTTTGGTTGAAACAGCCAAAACCCCGTGATAATCACATGCGAAGCAGTAGGGCCATGGTTCAGTTGTAACCAGCTGGATTTTTCTATATAAACGCGTAGTTATGCTGAAAAAGAGGCAGATAGAAGAGAGGCAAGAGTTGGGCTAGAGACAGTGGAGAGTCGAGTTAGACTCAAGAAGGAGAGAAAGTGACGTCAGAGATTGGAACGAAGCGTCCGCTAACATGTACTGTCGATAAAAGTACCGCTGCTTCTACTACCATGAATATTACTACTACTGCTAAGGAGGAACACCACTATAAACTTTAAGCTGCGCACAGAAATCTTATTCCCCCATCGCAAGAGTTGTATATCGTTCTGAGACGATTTAACAACAAGTTAATCATAACACACTCTCTCTCTGTCCAGAATCCAGTGTATGAGTTTTTATGTCAATTACTTTTCTTTTCTGTAACCTGTTTCTTTTCTATACTATTCCTTTTGCTATATAAAAGACATTAACAATTCAATCATTGAATAGTTGTTTGTCCGGCTTTCTGCAGATATTAATTTTTTTTTTGCTACATTCTAAATTTCTTAGCACAGACTCTCCAGCTGTGTCTACATCTTCAGTCAACCATGAATGGACGAACATCACTTCTGCTTTCTGGATCAAACCAAGCACAACGTGGGCAGGAAACAGGATTAACCCAGTGGACCGAATAATCTACAGATGCTCAGGGGACCTACGGCCATTCCCTTAAGTTCGATTAGGACCAAGTAGACACCTCAACTCAGAGAGTAAGACGTCGGTGGTTGAGGGGCTGGGGTGAAAGTGTTAGATGCTACAAAATTATCTTTCAAAAAGAAAATAATAGGCTCATGAAGATTGAAAGACAGGACATTGAGTGTAATGGAAAATGCACTTGAAAAGGCCTCCCATGCAGCCTATATAAGTTTTAATTTGACCATTAATATTTGTTACTTCTTTAAATGGACCTTGTAAAACGGAATCTATAATTTATAAAGCAGAAGTAACAAACCACCCTCCATAACAATTAAGTTACATATTTGCTCTCTTTCTTTACTGTATACATCTACAATACGCTTGCATTCCTGTTTCTTTCCATTCTTTTCTTTTCTTCAACCTTCTTTTCCCCTTCCTTTCCATTACACTCAATATCCTGTCTTTCAATCATCATGAGCCTGTTATTTTTTTTTTTTTTGAAAGATAATTGTGTAGCATTCTTTGTGGTTTTTTGAAATAAAGCGTTAAAGTGGGCATTTTAAAAGTATTGCCCAAAGAGACCGTCAGGTCAAAACCATGGTCGCATGTTTTAATTGATCTACTGATTTTTAAAGTGTGTAAGTATGTGTGTGTGTATATATATATATATATATATATATAATTTTAATCAATTCACCCCAAGCAAAGCCACTAAAACACAAGGGGCTACTGGGAGTGAAAGAGAATGAAAAAACTTTGAAAGGAACTGGAAACCCAATCCTAAACATGAAACGGGATAAATCTCTACTCCTGTTCAAAAGATCTGGGATGAGCAAGATATATGGTAACTTAATGGTTGTTGCTTTTGTATGTGGTTTTCATTAAATTAATATTGATACTATTTTCCAGTCCACCTATTGTAGCAACATACAACAATATTGTGAAGAACTGAGGCGAACTGTCCATGTTGTAAACCTTGACCCTGCTGCTGAACACTTTGATTATTCAGTTTTAGTTGGTAAGTAACTTCTCTATATTAGAATTATTTTTAAAATTCTGTATTTGAATTTTATGAAATTGTAGAAATTACTTTAAGAAAATTTAATAGTGTTCATAGACCTTAAGATTAGATAATTCAGATAATATTTTCTCTTGTAACAATCTATATAAACATACAACCTGATTGGTTAAATAGATTTCAAAATTAACTTTTTCAAACCATTTCCATTGAAATTTAGCAATTTTTATTGTTTTAGCATTATTGCAAATTGGGCAAGTTCTATATTAGAGAAATAAAATTGAAAATCAATTTAAAGTGAAATTTGCATGAATATATTTGAATATATGTAGTAGATTATCATCAATTCTACAAAGTATAGTAAAAAGTGTTATTTTTAATTTTAATTTTTTTTAATTGTCTTATTAACTTTTTTCTCAGATATTCGTGAATTGATCAACATAGAAGATGTAATGGAAGATCCAGATTTGAAGTTTGGTCCCAATGGAGGTCTTGTATTTTGTATGGAGTAAGTAGAATTTTAAAAAAGATTCTTGCCAACTGTTAAAGATTTATCTTGAAATAAAGAAAGAATCAGTTAAATAGAAAATCTACTGAATTTTGAAAAACTAAATAAAATCTAATCTGTAATTTATTATAAACTCCTGAATGTTTAAGAAACAAAATCATTAAGAAAATAAGATTGCATTCTATAATATTAATAGAAGTGGATAATAGCAATGTGCAATTTTATACTAAAGTTCTGTGTTTAAAAATGATTGTAAACAAGTCATAGTGATTTATATTTGCTTCCATAACATAATAACATAGTTATTTCTTTTTAAAATACTTTATATTTTCTTTCCATTTAGTTGAAAATTTAAATGTCAGAATTATTAAATACCCTATGAAAATGAAAAATTACTTTATTTCCAATAAAATGTCTTCATATCAAATTGATATTTCTTAATCTTTTACTAACCCATTTGAATACATGTAAAAAAAGATGGTTACATTAAATTTGAATGAAGATGGGATTTGGTTTGTATGAAGTGATTATTGAATGATTGACTAAATCTTTTACTGTATTGTCAGGATCAGTTAGTTCACAATAGTTAAAAATATTTGTTTATGCCAGTGCTATTATGAGTGGGTTTTTTTTTCTGTTTACTAGGTACTTAGCACAAAACATGGACTGGCTTCATGAACAACTGGATGACATTGAAGATGATTATATATTGTTTGATTGTCCTGGTGAGTGTCTATTTTGAAGAAACAAATTATATTTTTTAACTATATATGAAAAATTGCATTATTTGCATGTATCAAATTTTTATCTTACAAATAAATAAATTTCTTTTTATGTCCATATTGATATTTACCCATGTCTCTCCACTGAGATTGGATGCGGCATAAGGTCAAGTTTAATGTGGGGAACCCAAGTGCTTACACTCAGGCCAAGCACAAAAATTGCCCAGCTCCCACAACCATCAATTGCACTGGCCTCAGTATCAACTACAAATCCCCCTCTCTCTAGTGCAATGGGAGTGTGCAGCCTTGGACTGCATGTCTAGGACACTTTGGCACAGATATCTTTTTTTTTTAATTTTACAATATCTTTTTTTCTTTTCTTTTTTTTTCATATTATTAAACATTATTATACCCTTTCTGGAACAAAGGACATTTAGATCTATATAATTCTCCCTTGTCTGTTTAAAGAAATTTGGTTTCTTCCTATTTCACCAAATGATGTCAACATAAGGGGCTTAATCTACTAATGGATTCAGGGGTAGGCTGCATGTGAGAGGACGACATACACAGACAAAACGATATTTGACAGTCTGACTGACAAGAATGAAGTAAGTCAAGTTCAGTTGTCCGTTAGTTCTAATTAATACAACTATTACAACTTTTTTAGAGTTTTACCTTGATGCTTGCAATATATTGAAATTTCTGCAGATTCTAAACTTTCAGTGTTTCTGCGATTATAACTTTTAATTATATTTTATAAAACATTTTCTAGCACTTAAATATGCAAGCATATCTCTCCTAATTATGTATAGTAAATCCCTTTTTTTCTTTTTCTAATTGTGTTTTGTTTCATTTCTAGATATCCTTATGTCTAATGCATATTTTATATACCTTTAGACAATGTATTATGAATATTAATCTACTAGCAAATGTTTTTTATATGAAAAATTAATTTTCTAAAAAATTAATTCTTCATATAATGTTTCCAACTTTTGTCTTCAATGCAAGGTCAAAGTGGTAAATATTCTGCTCTCTATATATAGCTGTTTTTTTTATATTACATCTTATGTTATTTGAGGTAGCCATTTAATTCATCGCCATGCCAAAGTGGCCCAGAACTGAGATGTTATTGCACCAAAGTGGTCCATGTGTTGAAGAAGGCCATTCCCTTGAGTAGTTGTTCCCCAGGGCCAGGTACCTCACAGTATTTATTTTCCTCAGCTGCATCACTGTCTGCAGACAGAGCAACAACTAAGTCGTGCTCTGCCCAAAGACAGAAATGCAACTGAGGGATGATAAACAAGAGACAGACATAAAATTTCCATCTGTCTGACATAAAACGGCTATATTTAATACTGATAAAACAGTGTACTCATACAGGTTATAACTTTTATTGCAATTACAAAATTTGCCAAAAAATATTTACAAAAATCTACAAATATTTAGAATTTTATTAAAATTAGGCTTGAATAATAATTATAAAATATAATGAATATTATAGAGGAAATAACATTTTAATTCTATTTGATGATGAAAGGAAATTATGTAACGACGTTTGAGATTGCAGTTAGGGAGACCAACAATAAAAATAAGATTTTTAAAATAGCTAAAATATTATGTCCAATTTTTTAAATCAAGAAAATAAGAGATAAAAATCAGTAAGAATAACGAAGAAAAGGAGGCGACATAGATTACCTGCTCTTTGAGCAGCTAACATGAAGAATTTACTTTTTTATTTCTTTTTTAATTTACTCTGTGCGAACTCTTGACAAGACACTCACGCATATTTTAGTTATTTGGTTTTTTTTAATCATCAACGCTAATATTGAAAATCTTAATAAAAGTTAATATATTTAAATTGGAAATATATTAACTACTGAAGTTGTTAAAAGGTGATAGCATATTTAAGTGATTTAGCAAGTGCATTGTATTTATATATGATTATCTGCTTTGTCATCATGTTATAAATTGAAGTAATTATAATATATAAATATATTTAAACGTATATTCCTTTAAAAAAAGTGTATTTATCTCCAGAGCTAGTCATAATGTAAAATTTTTTTTGACACACTATTTCTAGTATGAAATTGTAGCATAATAAAAATGCTACATTTTGTTTAACTTTAAAGTTTGCTTTATAGAAATGGGTGAATTGCCCATGTCTGTGTAGTGGATGTTCTGGTAACAAAAAAAAATGTTATCTGTTTAAAATAATGGAAACTGAAGATATAGAAATGTCACTATTAATATTATTTGGACTATTGTCCTCATCTTTGTGGCCATATTTATCACAACATTTTGACCGTTGTATGCTCCAGTGTTCTTCAGGTGGTTGGAATGTTGAACTGAACCCTTTATTTCGCTCACTGGGGTAGACTGTTCTAGTTCCACATGCCATGTCAGTTATCAGTTATCTACTGTTAATTCCCGTCCTGAGTAGAGAGCCGTGTGTGAGGTCCTGTCGAGTTAATTTATGTCTCCCTGAGGGAGATAGAAAAAAAGGCAAATCTGGAATTATCTGCCAAAACACGTGCCGGTCATAAAAATTTCAGCTGGAGACGGATGCTGATACAGGCAGGGAGAATCAATGTTAATTATCTTTCCAAGATATCGTTTATTTTTTTTTTTCTTGGATACAGGCAAAGAGAAGCAATGTGGCAATTATAAAATTTTGGCATTGTCTTGATATAGGTGAGAGGATTGTTATCATTTACTTTGCCAACAGACGCTAAGACGTCGAATAACAATGTGGCAATTGTAAACTTTTGGCAGTCCCCAGAAAATAGTGGAGAATTGATATTTGGCAAGATAAAAGAATTTAATTTCTTAACAAATCAAGAATTCCATTATAAAGCTAACTTAGTGTAAAGAACCAGATGGCAAACTTTGACAGTGATTAATGAGATGGAAAGAGTGCTGGATAAGTGACTTTTGTGTGGCCCAGGAAAAAGAGAACATAAAAATTTAATTGGCAATGTGGATATTGTAAAAAATTTGGACCAATGGGAAAGGAGAATTTTGTAAACAAAAATTCTAGATTATAATTTTAAGGAGGCCAGCATAGCCACACCAACACTGCTGAGAGATCATTGGTCATATGGTAGCATGGTGATAGTCGGAGGTGAATGGATGAGAAAGGCAGATAAGATGTTAACACCCACTGAAGGGATTGGTATGAGATATCAGTGTGAAAGAGAAAGAGTCTAGAAGGATAGCTCTCATCTGACTTTCCCTCACGAAAGACGGAGATCCCCCCCCCCCGAAATGGGAAGTGGTTAATTTTCCAAAAATGGGAAATAATCAATTTTCCTGTTCTGACAACAAAGAGATTTCTTGTTAGAAATAGAGATTACCAAGAACCCCAGGCCGCGTCAGGCCCACACACTGGGTTTTGGTCGGTACCCATATAAACAAACAACGATGGGTTGTTTGGAAGAGTGGTTAAGTTGAGTAAAGTTGCAGTTCAGCTCCGGACAGAGTCAGAGACAGTTTGAGTAGCGGGAACCAGAGTGTTGCCTCGCAGAAGCTGACCAAGAGATTCCACAACCTCCGACTTTGCCTAACCTACCCATAGCAAGTTATACTGACGAACGAAGTTAAGCCAGCACTTAAAAACTAAACCTGTTGACTTAGAGGGCCAACTTGCTTGAAACATAGAAGTGTCACATATCATAGGAAACGGGCTGAGAGAAAAACACGTTCCTGTATATAGCAGAAGGATAAAGTTGAATTGTTATTTCCTAACTTGAACCTCTTGGGTTTTTCTTTTATTTATTTTTTTCTTTGCACTTGTGTGGTGCCACCTTCAATCTGGACTCTGCTTGCTCTACGGCCCGATGCCTGATTGATCTCGTCTACCTAAGATCAAAGTCACAATGTGGGTAGGTTAGACTTGAGATCAAAACAGTTACTCCAGTAACCAGACATTGCAAGTGAGCTGGGAATGATAGAGCTGGCATTGAACCGGTACAGCTAGTAAAGCCGTTAACATCGACGACCAGAATTCGACCCTGGTGCCACATATTGGTGCCTTGACCACTGGATTCGACCCTGGACGGCTGAGTGTCATATATTGGTATCCTGACCAGGGGATTTTGCCGAGTAGTGATGACCACCGAACGACCAGGACACAGGCTGGTGGCAGTGACAAAGAGTCAACCCCAAAACACCAGTAGAAGAAACCTTACAGCTTTGTGCAGTGACTGGGAGTTGACCACGGGCCGACGGCTTAGTCTCACGTATTGCAAAAGATGATTTCTGGAATGATAAATCCACAATCCTTTAAAAAAAGTAAAGAAAAACAATATGCTATTAATACAAGTGAAAACTAAAAAAGACACAGAAAGACTACTAAAAATCAAGCAGACTAACAACATAAATATAAAAGCTTACCCCCATCAATTTCTGAATTCAGCCAAAGGTGTAATAAAAAGCCCAGAACTATCACTTTGTACACCAACAGAAATTGAATATGATGACCCTCTAAAAAAAAACAAGGAATAACAAATGTGAAAAGAATTCAAATTAAGAAAATGATAAAGTAATAAATACGAATACATACATTTTGACATTTAACAAACCAATTCTATATATAAAGGGAAGACAGGCTGCCCCCTTAAGGTAAGGCTTCAAGGACACCAAAAAGCTGCAACACGAGGGGAAGTGGAAAAATCAGGCATGGCTGGCCACATATGTAGAGAAAGGGGAGATCACCGCCCTCTGTGGGATCAGGTTGAAATCATAGACAAAGAACATCATTGGAAAATTCGTAAACTTAAAGAATCAGCACATATGCTAGACCACAAAAATCTGAGCTGACCAAGCATAAAAATGAATACAATATGGGAACCGGTAATAAGGAGTACCAGAGAGAAGCAATTATAACAAAAAAAATTGCAGTATGAGCTCTGGTAAAAAATCATGCAATGATAACAGCAAAAATTGCAATATGAGCACTGGTAAAAATGGTTGCTGAAGACATTAAGTTTATTAATCCCAGAAATTCATACACAGGTGTCCTTAAGGACACATGACACAGTGGATAAAGGCATTGGTTAGATCCAGTGACAGGACCCAAAGAGTTATGAGTTCAATACCTGTTTAAGGCAGTCGAGAACTTGGAGGTGAATTAACGGGAGATAACTGATAATTGACATCCATTAGATATGGCACGTGGAACTAGAACAGTCTACCCCAGCGAGTGAAATAAAGGGTTCAGTTCAACATTCTAACCACATGAAGAAGGCCGGAGTGTACAACTGCTGAAACGTTGTGATAAATATGGCACCAAAGATGGGAACAATAGTCCAAATAATGTAAATAGTGTACATAATGCCTCATCTCAGAAATATAGACAGATATAGAAATGCCGGCTTGAATTTTTTTTTTCCTAAAGTTTTTGTTTTAATTAATAAAGAATAATAGATCTGTATTAAAATGTGAAAAGAATTGTTTTTATCAAGTAATTCTGTGTCTATTATTGTTGATAAAAGATTAAAGAAACTTACTATACTAAAAAAAAGTATAGAAATATATTATTTAGAAATAACTTGTTATAGTATACTACTAAAGAATTTTTCAGTTCAGACCGTCCTCCTATGCTATGATCTATTATATTTGTCCAGATGCATGTATGCATAAGATGCTACTATTTTTCTATGAGTTTTTTTAAGCTGAAGAAAAACAAATTTTAGTGTATTTCATTATATACTTATTGAGCAGTGTAGATTGTTTGAATTTCTTTTTTATTTTTAGGACAAATTGAACTTTACACCCATATTCCTGTGATGCGTCAAATTGTGGATACACTTCGTAACTGGAACTTTAACTTGTGTGCTATATTTACTGTTGATTCACAGTTCATGATTGAGGCTTCTAAGTTTGTGAGTGGAGTTTTGTCAGCCCTGTCCACAATGATTACTCTTGAAATACCACATGTAAATGTCATGACTAAAATTGATCTTCTTAGTAAGAAAGCAAAAAAAGAATTAGACAGGTAACATTTACCTTTTTAAATTATAAACATGTATCATTTACATATATTATTTATTTGAAATCATATATTTATATACATGCCAATGCTTGTACATTTAATAACTCTGATGCATATAATATATATATATATATATATATATTATAGGTTATTACATTTGAACATATTTCCACTACAAAAATGCATTAATGTTCCAATGCAACATAGCATCTCATCAGGCTGTGATAAAATGATGGTTATAACAATTTTTTAATAATACTTATAAAACATCTCTTCTCCACAAAAAAAAAAATATATATGTAAATATAAAGAAAGTCATAACATATAATCTTCTTAAAAAGAAAAAAGACAAGATATAGTCAGTTAAAAGAAGAGATAGAAGAAAAAGAAGAGATAAAGATAAGTATGAATATGAGGGGGGATATAGAAATGAAAAAGACAAGACCAGACATATTGTGAATTGGTTAAACAATGAAAATCATTTACGTTATGTAAGATGTTATGGAAAATAGATTTAAATTTAACCGGAAATCATGTCTACTTGATGAAAGATTTGGGATACATTGTAACATCAGATAGACAGACAGCAATTTTATAGAGGCAACATATTTAAACAATAATTATACATAGTATGTAAATAAAAGGATACTTTAAGAACTAAAAGAAAGAAAAACAGGAAAATATATCAAATTATGAAACAGAAAATTAGAAGATTAAACTGAAATAATAAATCAAAATAAATTATAAATAAGAATAAAAGAACTTATTGAAACAAAAAGATACATAGATCAAATATATAAATCATATAAATAATAAATATTAACATAAAATTTATAAAATATAAATTAAAATTAATAGAGTATAACTGTTAACTAAAGAATTTTTTATATATATATATATATATATATACACACACACATACATGCATACATACATATACACACACACACACACATATATATACATATATATATATATATATATATAATCTACATTACCCCCAATCAAACTTACTGAGGATAATTTAAAATGTTTATTAACTTATTTAACATAAGAGAAGTGATTATTAAGTTTTCAAGGTTAGCAAGATTGTAAAGTCAAAGGTGTAATGTGGCTACAATTAATGTTAGTTCAAATCTATGATTTAATAACTCATCCCTATTCAAAAATCTGATTATTTGCATTTTCTCCTGTTGACACAGAAAACAAGGTTCATATAAAGATCTACAAGTTCTTGCTAGTTTTAAAATTTTCCACTTAAATTTAGCGATTTTATTTTCTTCTTTCAATTTCCAAAAATATTTTAGAAGTGAAGTACTATTTCACAAAGTAGCATTAGGAAAAGAAGAGTGGTGCTTATGCTAACAATCTTTGAATGCATTCTTTGTGCTACCAATATAAAACTTTTCAATCCTCAGATTTTCTATTGAGGAAATAGAACACATATACACCAGGGATTCAGTTAAGCACTTCTTAGACAATTGTTGTTCAGGATTCCTACAATTGCATAGGTTGGTGTCCTTAAGCATATTAGAATTAGTATTTGTATCATGGTTATTATTGTTAAATAGTTTATGTGTTTTATTGTTGTGTAACTTTATTATTTTCTCAAGATTATTAATACAACTATAGCTAAGTTTTAAAGTATTCCTATTAAAAATTTTACTAAGGGGATTGCATTTTGAAAAATGTTTATCAATTAAATTTAGAAACTAGTGGCCTTTTCTTTTTGAGAAGATTATATCTTATGTCTTTCTTTATATTTACATATATATATTTTTTTTTTTTTCACGGAGAAGAGATGTTTTATAAGTATTATTAAAAATTGTTATAACCATCATTTTACCACCACCTGATGAGATTGTATGTTGCATCAAAATATAATGCATTTTTGTAGCAGAAATATGTATGTTTGAATGTAATAACCTATAATAAAGAATTCTGGCTCTACTTTTGTATTGAGCTCTTTTTTTAAATTTATGTTATGAATGTTTGAATTTATATCTGATTAATTCTTATTGCATTTGGATATATATATATATAGTAGTTGTTGGTTATCAATATTTGATTAAAAAAAGAAGTGTTGGAATTTTTGTTAATATTTTCATACTTTCAAGTAACTTGTGTTCATAATATTTTGAGGATGGTATGAATAGATGTTAAAATAATCATTTATAACTTCTCCTTTCTTATTACCTTATGTAAAATAGCATGCCCAGGCTTCATTTTAGAAATATTGTTTTACAGCAAAGTTTCATTATATTGTAAAATCATTTCCCTTTTTGTTGAATATTGTTTTCATACAAAGTACACGGAAAATATAGTAAATGCAACAACAAATCCTTGAACAATATACAATAAACACAGGAAAAATGCTAAAAGTTCCTAACCTAACCAAAAAAGCATAAAATACATTTTTATTGAAAGGATTTCATGATAAACTCTTAATATTTTTTCCCTTATAATTAAGAAATTTGAATTTATAAAGGGCATACCATTCAGCCTTTGAGTTGACTTTGTATTTAAGGCTTGTATGAAATACCTGAATAAAAATGAAGTTTTCCAGAAACTGAAATTAAAACTTTTCTTTCTCAATATATTCTCACTTTGATTTTTTATTCTCCATATTTACTTGAAGACTATTTTTTTAATCATATTATTTACAAAACATTTTTCTAATTAATACAGAAAATAAATTTTCAAGTCTTTTGGTACTTATTGCCAACTTGTTTATAATATTTTAGTTTCTAGCATCCTTATTTAATCCAAATTAAATATGAAGAATATCCAAGTTTCATGCTGAAAAGTTCCTAACCTAATCAAAAAAGAGGAATCCAAAGAAAATTCTCATGTTTGGTTAGATTTTGGGAAGTGGATCTAGTTGGAGACTTTTCAAAATATTTTATCACTTGTTTAGAACTATTTTCTTATCATTTTCAACATTTATTTTGTGACATTTTGTTTTATATCTGTCTTCTGAACCTGATTATTAATGTTTTGTCACTAAAAGATGAAAATTTTCATGTCATAATCAAATATTTGGCCCATTGTGTGTTTGGCCTATATGTGTGTTGAATTTCTCATAATAAGCAACTCAGTTCTCTTTTGTTTTTTTTATGTATAGATACTTGGAACCAAATATGTCAACATTACTAGCTGATGAGTTCAACAATATGAAACATGGATCCAAATTTCATAAGTTGAATGCATTAATGGCTCAAATGGTGAGTTTGAAAAAGAATTTCCAATTTGCTGTAAATATAATGTCTTGTACATTAAAATATGTTAAAGATTTTTATCTATTTAAAATTAGTTTTAAGACATTTTATTAAAAAATGGTAATTTATTTTTATTTACACAAATTTTGATCAGAAATTTGTCTTAAAAAATTGGAGACACTATTTTTTTTGTCTCCATCTATATAAAAAGTGGGAAAAGCAGTTTTTGTAATCTATAATAAAAGTAACCAACTTAACTAAATAGATTAACTGACTATATTTTTTTATTCACTTCTATATCATCTTGTATTTCCTATTTAGCCCGAGGGATTTAATGATTATATTAAAAGTTAATTAATAGCAGGTAATCTTGCCAGTGTTCTGTAAATTATATTAATTTGGCTTCTAGGTAACAAAAAATTGTTGATTGAGTATTAATGATTTTGCTTCTTTTCATATGTCAATGGTAGAAGCAACTACTAAAACTCACTATGTTTGAGCATTTTCTGTTTACAGGTTGACGATTATGGTCTAGTTACATTTATGCCCTTAGACATCAGTGAAGAAGATAATGATAGCCTCAATGACATTTTACTCCAAGTGGATATGGCTATTCAGTATGGAGAGGACCTTGAGCCAAAAGAACCCAGGGTAAGCATCAATTATCAAAAAATCTTTGTCTTGGAATTATGATGAAAAATTATGATCAAAATATTCAGCTATTAAAAATATATATTTATTAAGCTTTTTATTATTATCCTTTGGTTACCTGTATAGTATGTCAATCTGATTGCTTATCATTATTGTTTTTAAAGATATTTATTTTCTTATTTGCCCATAGGTAAAAAGAGACACAATAATAGTCTTGTTTAATATAAATGTATTAATGCAAAAAGATGAAAATGATTGCTAAATTAACTGCACAATAAACTGCATGTATTCCAATCAGTGCCATTGCTACATTTTTGTTAACATATAAATGTAATTTTCTCACTGTCATAAAATGTAGCTGTAACAAGAATGTAAATGTCTTCAAGCATTTAAAATACAATAGAATTTCAAAGTATTTTAAAAACATTTAAGATCTTTATATCATAAAAAAAGCAAATTATTTTAGACCTGTACAAACCAAAGAGACATTTAGATATTTTCTAAAACTATGTAAAAGACCAGCACAACAATAAAACAAATTTTGTTAGTTTTATAAGTTTAAAACAATTATTTATTCAGTACATTATAAAGATAACGCCTAAGTAATGCAACTACCGAAATTACAGCAGTTATTTTGTAAGAATAAGCATACTTGAGTTGATTTTGGAGATTATATGAGTAGGTGCTGAAAATCTGAACAAGAAGCTCTTTCTCACTGTAAAATTTTACTGTTTGGTCATCTGATCATATTTTAAGAAATGGCGTGAACTGAAAATTTTTCAGCACATCTTTTTAAATATATTTTATATAATGTTTACTGGATAATGATCACAAGCTGAAATATCTTTAATGCCTTTTGGATGCCAAGCCGTATTTTGTAATGCAATTGAATTCTATTGGTCATGTTTTAATCCCACAAGTACCATCACACAAGAGTCTGTGAGATTTTAAACCTTCTTCTTTTTAGGTACTTTACTTTTACACCCCTATTTGGATTCAGTAACATTGCTCATTTACAAACAGTAGCCATAGTTCAACTTTTTTTGTCATAATTTAAGGTTATGTCTATTCCTCTTAGGTTACCTTGTATGAAAGTTGTTTCATCATGTAGTAGTCAGTCAAAGTATATAGTAGTTAAATACTCTTATCTTTATGTGGATAACTTTAAATTTAATATTTCAGTTTATATCTTCTTTGTACTATATTTTTCTTGTTATTATTTTCTCAATTTTTAACCTTTTCAGGATATACCAGATGACAATGATGAAGGGTTTGGTTGATGTCAACAATATCATTGTTAGAGAAACCAACTTTTTAATTTTTTTTTTTTTTTGTATTATACTTCTTGTGAATAGTTGGGACTTTCCCCAGTATCTTTCACTTTGGGGGTTTTCTGGACAAACAGAGTAAATAAAAGTTGACCTGAATCTTTTATTGTGTTGTTGCTTTGTTTGTAATATTTGCACCTTCTGACAGTCATGTGATTATTTCGGAACCATGTGCATTGAGCATACATACATACATACACATAGTGATGGGAAATAAATTGCAACACCTAAAATGATGATGACATTTTCAACCTGAGTACAATATGTGCATACTAAGGGGTAGTAGATATTCTGATAAAATAGTCTTCAGCCATCTGTGTTTGAGTTTTAGATGATGATACGTGTTGTAATAAGGCTTAGTGTGGTAAAAGCGTTCATTGCAAACAGCTATCATGTGCCAAGGAGAAACACATACTTTTTGTTCAGTTAAATCTGTTTTGAAATAGTTCATATTGTGAGCCTTCAAGAGGCTGGATGGTCATTTCAAAGAATTGTGGTGCATGGTGAATGTGACTCATCAATGATCCTTTGATGTTAGCAACAGTGATAAAGTGAATATTCCTTCACCTACAGACCAAATTCTTGATGGCTATATAATACAGATGCTCAATAAGATCAACACATTGTAAGGACAACTGCATGGTGTACACAGAATAGATAATAGCAAATGTGACTTCAGATGTGTCAACACATTTGGAAATCATTTACTTGCAGCAGATCTACAGGCATGAATGCCTCTTGCAAGACTTACATTTATATCACACAGTCGTGCATGTCTCAGTATTGTATCAAGAAAGACACTTTGACAATCAGATGACACACTATAGGGTTTGTGCAAATGATAGTTTGCATGTGCAATGTTGATCTGGGAAGTGATAACTTCCAGAGTGTATTCACCCATGATACACAGGCCATCATGGTTTGGGATGTCAAAAGTTACAATTCAATTGCTTTTGTGTCAGGAACACTGAATAAGAATTATTTTGCAAACACCTAATATTTTTTCGATATAAGTTTTCTTTGCTTTGGGTTGCTTTTCAAATAAGTCAGTTTTCAGTCATAATTTTTTCCTGTGCATCATTCTACAAATATAGTTTTAAAAAATATATTTCAGTTAAGTCTAACATAAGACTATAATGAATTTTAATTTAAGCTGTACTTTCTTTGGTTTTATTTCATTCATAAAAATTTAATCAAGATATAATAGTATTTACAATTGCTTAGTTAAATTTGTTCACAATGTAACTTTCATTCCTTTTAAAGGAAGGAGAAAATATGAAAATTGGTATAACAATAAAAGAGGTACCTTGATGAAAAAGACGCCAAACTTGACGAAAACAAAATTTTATTGTCTAAATGTTTGTTATTATTAAGAGGAAAGATCAAAGTATTTTGGGGGTATTTTTTGACATATTTTAATCATTCCTAGCAGGTCCGAAATTTTCATTAAAAAATCTTTTTCTTTTTTTAGTCAGAAAAATTGACGGATAATCAATCATGTCAACCATTTTTTTTCCATTTTTATAAAAAACATGGAAATCTCAGTTTCAAATTCTTTTAAAAATCAATTATAATTTTTTCAAAACTTATTTTAAGAAAATTAGAAAATTATAATCTTAACTTAAAATATTTTGAAACAAACATTACTTAGTTTCTGTGCCAAAAAAAGTAGTTTAAAAATAAAATAAAGCAGGTCATAACATTTTGCGTCAATTGACAGGTGATGATTGATAATTTCATCGCGTTTTGACAGATTACGTGAGGAAAATTTATCATACAGGAGGACAGAAGTGATATTTAAAAGTTATTTAGATTTAAGTGAACAAATTATTTACCTCATTATTTTTAAGGAAAACTTTCAACACTAATTTTTTTTTGTACTTAGCTTTCACCTTTACGTTTACGATGCTTTATGGAAAATATATAAAAAAAATTAAAATAAGACTGTTGAGAGTGAGATTAAATTGCATATGAAAGGTACCTATAAATTAATTAGATATCTTTCTTATGAAATTTTATCAGAAGTGTACATAAAATTATAGAATTTTATGTACATTTATTACATTTTACTGTGTTATTTGTATTTCCATTCATTTTATTATTAATTTTGATATTTCACTTGTTGAAAAATGTCATAACTGAGATTAATATAAAAATAAGATCATATAAATTTTATAAGATGATATTGATACTTGTAGGTACCCTTCTCAGATGAAATTGAAAAATCAAATTAACTTCTCCACAAGTGTTTCGCAAAAATAAAGGCATTAACAGCAGAGAACAATGCTTAACTCAAATAACGCAACTTAATTGTGTTCTCGATGGTCTTCCGTGCTTTATAATTACAGCTGTATTATAAACACAAAATTACATTTCTTAATTACTGCAGGTCTTCTGATTGGTCCAAATTATACAATTTACGATGTGCTAAAAAATGATCCATCTCATAAGAATATTTACGAAATGCAGCTTAACTAATTTTATAATATTTTAACAACTTAAATGTAAAAATCTAATATAATTAAAGAAATAACAAATGTATTAAAAATTCATTTTTCATCAAAAATTCTTTTGCTTTCAGAAAATATTGTCCATATTCATAAAAACAACTAAAAGTATTTGAAATTAAATAATATCTTTGTTTTATTGAGTTTTGTATGTTACAATTCAGAGCTAATTTTCAGGTGTGTATGTGTGTGTGTGGGGGGGGGTCCAATTAAAAAAAAGAATGTAAATACTGTAAAAAAAAAAATACATGATTTGCTTTCCTCAAAGCCTTGTGCTTTTAACTAATATAATCACTAAACTGTATGCGACTGAATTTCTAGAGTTTTCATAAAATTAGTTGGGGTGGGTAATAAATATAAAAAAAAATATTTTTTCCATGACTTTAAAAAAAGAAAACATAATAATTTCCATCATTTGTAAATAGTTACTGAAAGTTTCATTAACAGCCGACCAATTATTTTTATTTTTGCAAAGTTTTACAAATTAATGTCTGTCATACAAAAAAAAGTGCTAAAAATTTATATGTTGTTTTACTAGTTCTGGTGATACAAAGAGAAACAAGGTTTTTAATCAAAATTTAGAATGTTCTAAAAAGAAGGAAAAATTTTTTAAAATAATTAAAAAATACTTCGATCTTTCCTCTTAATAACAACATAAACATTTAAACAATAAATATTTGTTTTCAAGTTTGGCATCTTTTTCATCAGAATATGCTCTGTTTTTTTTTTTTTTTTTTTTTAGCTATCTCATGAAAAACATCAAGCAAAACCATCACAAAAAAAAAGTCCTGATCTCAAAAAACACTTTCAATCACATTTCAACTCTGAACACACTAAAGATGCCTGCAGAAATAGAACATATACCAATATACATCCAATCATTACAAAGTTTGTCTCCCAGCATAAAACAGTAAGGAACCTAATTAAGAAAGCTATTAAAAAGTTAAGGAATAATAAAACATCATTTGACATTGAAGTTGAACCTTTGAAAATAGTTTAATTTCTCCCCAAAATTGAATAACATGTTTTTCTATTTTATGAAAGAAGTCTGGAATCAGAAATGCATCCAGTAAAAAGTGAGATTTATCATGCATTAATTCACTTGTGATGAAAGTATTAATGAACATTGTATTAACAAGGCTCTCATTTTTTTTTATGAAAGTCAGTTCTCACAACCCAGTTTGGTTTTTGTTCTGATAAGGAATGTAATAATAGCATATATATCATCAAACAACTCCAGGAAATTATATACCGCTCCCATAAAAAATTGTATAACTTCTGTCAACCTAACAGCAGCATATGATCACATCAATAGAGACTTCCTCCTTTCAACCATTAGAAACTGATTGCCAAGTTCTGAATGCATCAATCTAATCAAGGAACTTTATCAGTCCACAAAATCTTACATGTGTAGCAAGGACCCCAATATGAAAATATTTCAAACCTCATCAGGAGTACGAGAGGAGGAAATGAGAGCCCCAGTATGTTTAATCCTTAAATTAGATTAAGCTCTGCAAATTTAAAAGCACAGATGGGAAAAGATGGGCACTGATTATTTATTAATTCCATACCACATCCCAAATTAATCTGCCAATGGAAGACAATAATTCTGCTTTCCTCTTAAGGCTAATCAATGTACTGATGATGAGGTGGAGGCTATGCTAATGACATAGTTGGGATAAGAATGATCTTAAACAGAAAATCAACACACTCTATCAAGTGTTCCAAGAAATAGAACTCAAGGTGAACCATTAAAAATAAGAAACTATGATCTGGAATTGGAAAGAAAGCAGTGATGGCAATTATGAATCTATCATAAAAATTAAGGATGTGGAATTAGTAAATACTTCAATGTATGGATCAGTTATAATAAAATTAGTATAGGAGACAAGGAAATTGAACATAGAATACACTGCTTTAGAGGTAGATTTTAAGACCATCCTATAAGGAATGGTACAAGGACAAAGGAGAAGAGGGTGCCAAAAAAAAAGATGGACGACATCAAATGGACTGAAAAAGTTTTGCCAGACCCAGATGCTAACCAATGACTGGATCAAGTGGAGGCTTCTTGTTGAGCAAGTAACCATGCAGCACTCTTATGATGAGTTATGGGACAAGAAGAATCGGGTAGCAATGTAACCATAATTGTCAGTTTCATGCTTAGGTGATCATCAGGTGCATAGAAAAAAATCTTGGTTGCATTTTAAGACATAAATATGCAAGATTCTATGATCATTTAGTCAGGTGGAGCAGGTAGCAGAACATTCACTTGTTCTCATAACTCCACTTGAAAAGTAATTCTGATATTTTTATTTTATGGTCGATTGGAGGAATTTCTTAAAAGTTACCATTTTATTTCCAGAGTATTCATGTTTTTGTTTTTCAACTCTTATAAATACATAGTGTTGTATGATTAGCATACTGCCTTCTTCTAATCTAAGTAAA